GGTTCATGAAGGATATGTGTCACACGAATAAGCAAAATAGAGGCAATTGTGCCGTTTCAAGATTACCTTCCATCATATTCGCATACTACTGTCAAGACCGGTTATAACGAAGTCGGTTATAACAGAATAGCGGCTACAGCTAAGCGATCAGGATTTCCCATTCCCTTGCACTTCGTTATAACCGAAGTCGATTATAATGAAGCAAGGCGGACGGCAACGAGTACGGGATGGAGGACGGCGTCCGAAAGAGGCGCTAAAATGTAACAGTCTTACAGTTACAGTCACTCAGGCAAAAAGTAACCCTGCTACAGTTACAAATTTGAAAAAGACACTTTTTACAATTACAGTCACTTTGCTAAACTAATGCCGTTACTTCGTGGTTACTTTACAATAAAAACATTAGAAAACATACAAAAAGTACCTTCGTTAATATGCCTTTAAATTAGCATAGATTTCTTATAAGACATTGTGTTGTTCATGGTATTGAATCTGATTATTATGAGATACTAAGATTTTCTTAATAATCAATATTAACATGTTTGGTTCTTCCTATTTTAATTTTACCATGAATAGCTCCTTAAACAAGATTATAATCTAAGCCAGTATCCGAGTAAATCCACTATATGATAAATAATTTGGAGTCTCGTCTTTGCCAAAATTACAGGCGACTTTAGTTTTTCAAAATATTAGCATAGCAGGTACCTAGACAATGAAGGACATTAAAATAAGCGCGACCATCATAAGGATACACGAAAACAACGGCATGCGCCCAGATCTCTTGTATATCCAATCCTGGTGACAGTTTGCAATTAGCCACTCCTAATTTTGGATTTTTTTGATGAGGCAAAATCGGACGGAAGCAATAAAAATCATGCAAATGTGAAGTCAATAATAAGATATAGTCATGCCTTGCAATCAGCTTTGTAGATGTGTAATGCCACTCTAATCTACTCGTCGGTTGAACCGTTTTCTACAACGTGCTCACAATCTTTCATGAAACACGGAGCTTCCCTTGGAAACTTGGGGAGCAATGTTGCGGCAACATCTCTCTGTCAAAATAAGCACTGTTGGGGTACAAACGTCCACTGCGTGTCGAATTCCAAACGGCTGTTGCAATATTTTTTCCGCCACTTCCTAACCTGATCGAACACTTTTGTGCTCCTCCATCTTACCACCCGAAATAACAGAGACAACCCGGAAAGCCCACGACGTGAATATTGTCACGGATAAAAAAAGAGCTCGACGAATGTAAACTGAAAATAAAGGTTTAATCGGCGATCTTGCGTCGAACAAAATAAAGAACGAGCGCCTATACAGCAGAAACGAGGGGGGTTATTTGACGGCGTAACAGCAAGCGAGCGCGAGACTGACTCGACAAGGTCCCGCGCAGCTCTTTATCTACTGTGCGTGAATATCTCGAAAATTCGGCAAAGAAGCTTCGAGCGTCGCGCGCTCGGGACGAGAATGAACAGGCACTTTCGAGAACGAGAAAGCAGGACGAAATGATGAAAGTTACATCCCGAGTAAGAATAAACGCGAATCTTTCAGAAGTGCGTGATCGAGCCTTGCTTGTTTGGCCCTGCGCGCGCAATATCTATAAATTGACTGATGCCAAGTGACCCTGGTCTCGGCTAAGGGCTATCTGTTCAAGGGAAAAAACACAAGAAAAACAAGCAGAACGGCACAGAAGTTTCGAGCGAATACTCTTCCTCAAGTGACGGAACTCGAGAAGGGACAAGAAGTGGATGACAGGAGGCAAGGCTGGTAATTGGGTTGTAAAAAGAAGGAAGGGAGAGAAAATGGGCCTGAAGTCGAGACCCCGCAAGAGTACATCTGGGAATTGGACGATTCAAATTAGAGGGGAAGGAAAGGTATGCTTGGCGGCAAGAAGACGAGGTTCGGAAAGTCGGATGTGCCGTAAGCCTACGGGCGTTTGGGGCGACAATCACCAAAAACTGTCCTCTGCAAAAAGTACTCGCTCCCTCTGCCGGACGAAGAAAAGAAAAACGCTTTAGAGATGCCGCGCTTTGCTACATCTGCGATATTTCGTTTATAAGAGATAAAAGCACGTTCTCTAGGACAGTCTAGGGAGCCTTCATGTCCGAAGCGCACATGAAGGCACCCTAGGGGGGACCAGTTTGGCCAAACAGGGTCACCCAAAATTTATTTTCTTTATATTTTTATTTTTTCCCTCCTGCTCCAGAGGTTTTTTGTAACAATTTTTGTTTTGCCTTTCCCTAGGACTTAGGACTCTCTCACTTGTTGTGAGACATATTTGTGGTCGTGTTTGCAATATTTTGCACATCAATCTGAGAAGTAACTGTAACGACGTTACTTTTTACAGTCATTTTCAAGAAATAGTAACTCTGTTTAAGTTACAAGTTATTTTCACTAAGCAGTAAAAAGTTAGTTATAAGTTACTAAAAGTCATTAGTTACCGGTAACGCGCTGCTAGTAACTATAGTTACCGCCCAGGACTGCTATACAGCAGTGCGAATAATGTGGGACCGGACATGTTTAATGGTCAAAAAGTAGACGAGGGACAGTGGATATGCCGGTAGACAACTACTCTATAATAAATCGTTATCAGCCCTAAATGGCAAGTGGATAAATTAAACCGTCTGCTACCATAGCCTCCTTTATACTGACAAAGCCTGGCAGATCGCCATAAGAAGCGGCCGCCGAAAGTGAAAAGGTAGAGCGACAGACAACGGATGAGAGGAGAGGCTAGGGTGCCTACATGTCTGTCTGTCTGAGGGTGAAGACATCCATTGTTGCCCTCAATGTGCCAGCGCGTGACGCTCTCGCGCACTTGGTGCGTGATTGGGGCGGTAAAATGGCATCTGTGCATTAGCCAAAGCGGGCCCGAGCTGAGTGGCACCAGATTGCGCGCGCTTCAAAATGCATAAAAAAATGATTGGGCGGAAAAATGGCTCAGATGTCCCCACTCAAGCAAAAGCGCGCGTGTGTATGAAGGCACTCTAGGAGAGGCTAGGGTGCCTCAATGTGCGTCTGTCATAAGGTGAAGACACCCATTGTTGTATTTAAAACTGCCTGCGCGTGCCGAATGGGCCTTGAAATGGCGCCAAAACAACGGACAGAGCTAAGCGCTCGCTCCGAACGAGATCGAAGCGCGTGCATTCTGGGCATAGAAAAGACCGAGATGCCGCCACCCTAAGACAGACGTGGCTAAAATGTATGAAGGCTCCCTAGGAGAGGCATGTAACGGGTGCCCCGCTGCGGCGAGACGCCGAAACACACTTGTCCCGAGCGGTGTAATGTCCACTCGTGCTCCTCGCGTTCCTCGGGCTACCGCTTCTTTTCTCGTCGGGTTTGAAAACCATGTTTTGAGTCCTCGCCGCTGCAAAAGCTGTGCGCTGACTACAGGCTCCCCGAAAAATGCTTTGTACTACCAGATTCTCGCGCGCCAAATCCGCAACCGGGCACTCTATGGCTCCGTTGTCGAGCTGCCAGGCTTTGCAAGTATAGAGGAGGATATGCTGCTGCAGATCGACGGTTAGTTTCAACCGCATCCAACCCCGAAACTTTAAATTTACTTTTTGTTTTTATATCCTATGTCTGCCACATTTAAACAGGCAGCTCGTCACCAGAAAAAGAACCAAACGTTCCGCACAATATAAAACTTTTTTTTTTTGTTTATTGCAGAAACAAACTGGGCATCGCCAAACTTCGATGGCTCGACCATTTGGTAAGACAAGACAAGGTCTACAATGGCGGCTAAAATCTGTCGCAGGCTGTATGTCGTTTTGAGATGTACTAAGCTGGAAGCGCAGCGTGCTTTGCGCCGTCGCCGAGCTCCACTCACATAATACAGTCGGCTGCAAACACGAGGCTGATGTCGCTGTTTGGCAGCTCCAGAATCCTGAGGATCATGAGCAGCGTGAGGACGCTGCTGTTTGGAATGCTGGCTGCGCCCAGGCTGGCGAAGAGCGTCGTAGTACTGCAAGGGCGCGTCATGGTGGCACCGACTGCGATATAGTACCGATTTGCATTGCGAAAGAATAAAAATCGCCTGGCTTGGACATTGCTTCAAAGTTCAAATGCAACGATAAACTTGGTGGAGTCTTTTCAAAGCGCGGTTCTGAGTGCTATACTAGATTATTTTACTAGTACGCAGTTCCTACTACTCAACCTCCGTTCCTATAGGGCGCCAGAAGAAACACCTAACTTGGCACAAGCTTGTCAATCCTGGGCCTAACTTGGGCCTAATACGGTTGTCCTCCTAGGCGTTTTAACGCCAGATTACATTTCTTTGGCGTTTTATGACCTATCACTTTCTTGCCAGAATGGCAGGCTTGAGCCAAAGACGGCACTATGAACCGAAGAACGAGCAGTAAAGCCTAAATCTGGCAGTTGTTTGGTAATCTTTATTAAGCCCAAAGTTGCCGCATCAAACCGAACAAGCAGAAGTAAAGCCTAACGCTGGCACTTGTTTGGCGAATTACGGCCAAGATAGCCATGACTCTGGCCAATGAAGGTCCAGTTTGGCTCTATCTCGTCTTTTTCGAAGATTTAAGCATCCCAAATTTCTAGACAAAACCCAAATTTTTGCCCAAAAAACTGCGACAACTGAGCATTGCTTTAGAACGGGGTTGGCCCCCATATGTGTCGGGGCTAACCGAGCGGCACTCCCTATACAAGTTCTTCTGCCGCTGGAGCGTCTCTTGCCAGGTGCTCAGGATATCGCGCTGAAAAAACGACTGCACAGCTCGATGTCCCGATCAACAAATAGGCTCTTTATTGATAGCGCACATGCTACAGACCTTTGTATCGCTTATCACCCCGGTGAAAAATGCCGAGTCACTGAGCTGTGGACGCGTGCGCAGCGTCCGATATACCGCACAGCAGAGCAACAGCGCATACTTGGAAGGCGTTCCACAGCCCAGCAGACAAAGATGGCAGCGCGCAGGAGGCGATTACTGCACACGTCTATATATGGGGCGTGGCGCACAAGGTTGCTTACGAACGATTCGATGCACTCACCCGATGCCTATCATGTCCTCCGGTCCCAGCTCGAGTCCGTTAAACTTTGCGAGGAATACGGCGGCTACCGAGACCACCACGGCGGTGCCGGACATGCTCACGTTGGCGCCGACGGGAATCACAAAGCGCACGATGCGTGGCTCCAGTTCCTCGATCTCCTCCAGCACGTCTGTGGAACGTACACACTTATTTTCCTGCTCCGTATTAATGGACAGATATAGGGTGCCTCAATGTCCTTCTGTTTAGGGTGATGCCACCCTTTGTAGTACCCGATGCCGACAGCACGCGCTCACGGATAAAATACAAAGAAATCGATGAAAACAAAATGCCGCCATAGCACAGTCAGCGCCACAAACGCGTGCAGGGACACGCTCTTTCACGCGCGTCTGAACAAAAAATGAAAATAAAAGCGTGAGACAAAATGGCCAGATGTCTCCACCCTAGGGTGCCTCAATGTCCTTCTGTTTAGGGTGATGCCACCCTTTGTAGTACCAGATGCCGACAGCACGCGCTCACGGGAAAAATACAAAGAAATCGACGAAAACAAAATGTCGCCATAGCACAGTCAGCGCCACAAGCGCGTGCAGGGACACGCTCTTTCACGCGCTTCTGAACAAAAAATAAAAAATAAACGTGTGTGACAAAATGGCGAGATGCCACCACCCTAAGCAGAGCGCACATGAAGGCACACTAAGATAAAACATAAAACCATGGGAGAGCGTTTGCAATTTAATGGCGGACCCGTTGGAGACTTTCTGTAACTATAGACGCGCTATCTTCTACAACTGACATAGGGGCCCCCTCACGGATTGTAAACGAACCAATACGAAGGGCACGCGTGTGAGCGTTCTACTAAACGCTACATTCAATGTATACCTTTTCGAAACAACGCAGTTACTTCTTTATTTTTTTTTAACAACATCAAGTGACCTATTTTTTTATTTTTGAACCGAGATAACGAGTAATGGTTTTTGGCTACTTTCCCAGAGGAACGCCTGTCACGCAAACCAAAACTTTTCCATGCGATTTCTGATGCATTTGCTCAGCGGTCCAGAATATCTGGATGGAAAGGCCGGTGAAGAGCATGTCAGTGCCATCGAGACCGGCATGTCAACCCATCGCAGTGTACTCAGCTGCAACGTGAGTGCGACATGTAACGGTATTCACTTTCTGTATTTAGTGACGTGTACATGCTGGCTTCAGCCAAACAAACATGTGTGTTAAATTAGTGACTCCACTAAAGTTACTAAACAATACATAATGTTCACCACCGACGGACGCAGTACGCTCACGCTAATATTCTACGACCTTGAATTGTCCCGCGTGTCTACTTTCCCGTGGAGCACTGGAGCAGCGAATCACTGAAATCCGGAAAGGAGCTCAGCGGATGACGAGGCCGAAAATATGATTAGACCAAAATTAACTTTGGCGATGTGTCGCTGCACACGGCGCAAGCACGTGTGAAAAGTCATGCTCAGAGCCACCTGTTATTTATATAGACGTTTTTCGTTTCCTTTAGTTCTCAGTCACGTGAGTTTCGTATCAGGTATCCGGGACGGAAATATAATAAGACATTTAAACCTGGATCATGCGAGAAAATATAGGTGAGGCAAAACAAGGATGTGTGTCAATAACGCATTTCCTGCAAACATATTTTATTTATTTATTTATTCAATATACCCTTCAGCGCCCAACGGCTTTACCAAAAAAGGGGGAGGGCAAATAAAGTGAGGAAAAATAATAAACAAAATCTAGGTTAATTATGAAGAATTCGCAAGTGGTAGGAACAATAACAATAATTGTACATTGAATTACACACTTGACACTATCGGGTGCAGCCAGATTCTTTACGCGAGGCGTATGGCGGGGTAGCAATCACAAAACCATATGTACTTCCTCTCATCTCACGATGGCCTAAGGGTCAAAGCTACGAGCCGTCAGGTCCAATCAGGAGCGAGTTCGAAGCCACGTGGCGGATTGTTTCGACGTACGTGTGATTGCGCCCGGCTCGTACTACAGGTATACGCACGTCGGAGCACCACGAGGTCCCTAGCTGGCTCGTGATTGGACAGGACTTTCGGGTTCAGTTTATTGCAGGGTGAGACCATGTATGTAAGCCTCAACTCACGAACACAGTCGCCTGTAGGTTTTCGACTCGCGCGTTACAATATAAGTACGATGCCTCATACTCGCCTTCGACTGGCGTTTGGCGTCCCAGACCGACCGTACAACGAAAGTTGTCCCGAAATGGCGAAGAATTGGGCTACAGGAGCAGGCGCGTCACGCTACTACATGTCGTGATCATGTCGGATGGTCATGGCTGCCTTTGTATCTACTCACTTTTTGAACGCCTTCGAACGCCAGAGTTCGGCGTTCGCATTCGAACGGGTTCCAAGTCTGAGTACAGAGACCCAGGCAGCCAGCCTTCGCCTCTACACCCTCCAATAATTCTAACCAGAGCTCGGTGCTCTGACGTGCCTATCGCGCTCTTTTATACACCAACTCAAGTTTACAAACAAACCGGAACGCCTCTAGTGGACGCCACCGGCGCCGCGCATGCGCGATGGGGGGTGTGGGCAAGGAGCTCGCAGTCGCCCATAAACAAACCATTGGAATGTGATGTTGTCGGCGTCAGTGTGAGTCCCCCTGCACATTTTCGCATTCGAATTGTTGATTCTACGCCTTCCTGGCGATGTCTGACTACTTGAGCGGCGTCAGCGAAATTACCGAGGCTCGTTACACCGCAAAACTTCGCGTGAATAATGTGATATGTGGCGATTCATTCCGCGTGGACGGCGCAGTATGTACGCTAAAGCCTGATTCGTATGATGCGATTTCGCTCGCAATTTTCAGTTGCTACGCCGCTCGGGCTGCAAAAGCGTGAACCGTAGCTGAGGTAGTCGACGTCGATACTGGAAATCGCAAGCAGAATCGCACCAAGTGAATTAGGGATAACAAGTCGGTGATGGTCACTTGTAAAAATGATCAACATCCTTTTGCATCTACTGTTTACATCGAGCCTGCTTACTAACGTTCAAATATAAGTCTTTTGAAGCCTGCACTTCTTATATGAAGTACCGGGCCAATATTTGGTCTACGGGCCGGCGTCTCCTAAGAGAGCAGACGACAGGCAGAAACGTTTGAAAGAGCAGAGGACAGTTCGAACGATCAGGTGGCCGTTTGAACTTTAAGACGCACTGAACGTAGTCCGCAGGTGGTCCGCACAACCTGACGGTTTTCTGGCGTTCATGTGTGAACAAAAATAAATCTGATGACCCCAAGTATCTGTGAATTCAACCCAAAGTGCTTCCCGCCCAAGCAATCGTTGTCCGACGGCGTCTGCTTTTCCCTTTTCACGGCACATATCGAGATTCTCGGACGAACCGAGCACGTGAAAACTGACCTTCAAACCTTTCTCGACACTTTAGGCACGGCTCCAGTTGCAGCGTTTTGAGGAGAAGGCAGGTTTTTGTCTGGTTCCTTTCAAAACAACGCAGGAATGCACGTCTGGCATGGGGGCTTCTGCCCACAGCCCCAGACCGGAAGTGCGACCGACGCGCCACCACCGCGCCGTGACGTCACAGAGTTGAGTTCGTGTATAACGTCAGCATGCAGAAATTGAGAGATCGCGAATGAGGCGTCCGTAAACACACCAAATAGGAGACAGGTTTAGCCTGGAGCATGTCCGACGAATGTTTGTCTGTACATGTCTGCATGCAGCTTTTAATGCGTTAGCTCGTTTTGACAAAAACCCGGTGGTCTGTTGTTTGTCGGAGCCGGGGAGAGAGGGAGAGGAAGGGGGAAAGGCTGACGCGGGTTCGAAGCGCTCACCTCAGCACCCGTCAACCTCTCCCTCTTTCTCCGGCACTGACAAATTGACAGACGCCGCCGGTTTTTCGTCAGAAGAAGCCCTTTTGTTTTCGTCGAAGTCACGCGCACAGCTGGCGCGCAGCCAGAGAGAAGGAGGAGCCGCGCAACACCTCCTAGATAACAAAGCCGTAGTGCTAAATGAGATGGCGTCATCAGAGAAGGCCAACGCTGAGCACGGATTGAAAACAAGTGCTGCGTCAGCGCTTGGCTTCGAGTTAAGTTTGAGCCGAACGTTGACGCAATCGTCGTGTCCAATCTGCGCCTATAGCGTTGGCCTTCTCTGATGGCGCCGTCTCATCCAGCACTATAATTTGTTATCGAGGAGGTGTTGCGCCGCGGCGGGGTGGAATGCGTGCGTCCTCAGTTGCCGCCCTACCGTCGCCGGTTGTTCTTCGCCCTTGGTTTCCGTAGTAGCGGTGCAGGGGCTGTGATGTGTGTTTAAAACGTTAGATGTGGTTCCCTCCACGAGCGATATGGATGCGGTTCCTTCCAAGAGTGGTAGGATCGTGGTTCTTTCCACGAGTGACATGGATGACCGCATCCAGGCGCGTAAACGATCTCTGACAGGGAAAGACAAGAAAGGATAAAAAATATTACAGGAAGCTGCATCGGTGTATCCTTAGGGAATCCGTTAGCATGACCCTTGGAAAACGATACACACTTGTGTCCTTTTAGGAAACGCTAACACTGACCAAAAAGAGACAACAAAAATAGAGAAAGCCATAGAAGAGAAGTGAATATATAACAAGTCAGGTGTTAGCGTTTCTTAAAGAGGGACGTATGTAGCATTTAAAAAGGTCATGCTAACGGATTGCCTAAAAATCCACCAGTGGATCTTCCTGTATATTTCGCATGACCAATATCTGACAGGACCGACACACAAGGAAAAGACACGCCTCAGGCAGGGTCTGCGGACTGTCCTTTGCATACTGTGTAAGCAGTACCATAAACGCGGCTTTACGCTCCGAAAGTACTGAACATGCGCAGGTCTCTTTTGTGGAACACATCAGACGCGGCGCATGCGTTCACAGCCCAGTGACTATGCGGGCGGAAACTGGGCGAGAGGAGGAGACGAGAACGCGCGGGCATGTTAGAACGCCTAGCTTTGTTTGCGATGATTTGATTTATTTATGATTAAAGCCTGGCTTTAATCATAAAAAAAATTTGATTGATTGATTGATGATTAAAGCCTGGCAGATCACCACGAGAAGCGGCCGCCGAAATGGAAGAGGTGGAGCGGATGAGAGGAGAGTCACATGACTGGCGCCCCGCTGCGGCGAGACGCAGAAACACACTTTTCCCGAGCGAACAAGTGTTTTTCGGGTCCTCACCGCTGCAAAAGCTGTGCTCTGACGTCCAGGTTTCCCGAGAAATGGCTCTTTGGTACTTTGTGCTACCAGATCCTCGCGCTCCAAATCCGCAACCGGGCACTCTATGGCTATGTCGTCAAACTGCCAGGCTTTGTGAGTATAGAGGAAGCTGCGTTAGTGGGTAGACTCAAAGTGAGCGGCCTTTGTATCTATCACACTCGTCGAACGCGTTCCAGTGCGAGAGGCAAACGCCGGACGCCGGCATTCCGCGTTATAAAGCGTTCGACGAGTGCAGTGGAGACAAAGGAGCTTTAGGTCTACCCTCTCCCCCAGTTTCTGCCCTCACAGGCATTTTGCCTGAGTGAGAAGCACTGGGAAGGAGTAGATGAAGACAAAGCGGAAACCTTATTCCCGTTACCGATGGTCTCCGGCATGGAGACGGCCCTTGAGGCCGAGCGCACGGCCTTGAGCATGGGCGACGTGGTGAGCCTGAGGAAGCGGCGCAGGCTCCGGCGCGTCACGGCTGCGTACAGGGCCGGCAGGAAGACCAGGCCGTACAGCAGCAGGCAGGCGAGCGCCGTGAGCACGTACTCGAAGATGGAGCGGAACACCCTCCCCGTGTCCCGCACCTGACTGGTGCGCGTGGCCACCAAGAAGAAGATGCCTACGGGGGAGTACCTGTGCCAGATGGTTGTCGGGCTCGCGTCAGGGCTTTCTTTAAATGTGTGCTTGACCGCTCCTGACCCAGGCGACAGGTGTTCTTAGACAACACCAATGTCAGAGACACCGGGACAAGTGTTTGCTGCACAAAACGTATCCTCAGGGTGAATAAATTACTTGTCGCGACGTGATATACGTTAGTACGTTCCAGTGACCTCGAGATTGCCTCGTTCCCAGCGTTTCACAGCCCCGAAGAGAAAAATGGTAGGACGGAAAAGGAGCTTGGAATGGCCTACGGATGGCCGCCGTTCCGACTCACCAGGCGATGAGATGCGAGATGGTGACGGAGGCGTTGCTGAGGCCGATGAAGATGTTGAGCAGCGCGTTGGACTCGGTCCCTGTGACGGACAGGACGGCTCCGAGCAGGATGGATACGGACAGGATGCCCAACATGTTGGAGCGGGACTCCTTGGAGATGACAATGTCGTCCTCGTCTAACGAAAAAAAAAACAAAAACACGATATGGCGAGATATATGCGAAAATTCAAAGCGACGGTTGCTCCACGCTTCGACCATTGTGCTTTTATAAACCAACACGCTGTTCACGAACAAGTTAGCGTTTGCCCACACCAGATATGGGCCCTTGTCGTGCGCGGAAACGGGGTTTGCTTGAAGTGAATCATCCGCGCTTGTGCCGTATACCGACCGCAGCGCCACCGCATCGGCGTGACGTCAGACTCGCGTTGGCGTGTATCGTCCATGCACCAACCAAGAAGGCATGTACTGTCAGCTCTCCTTGATTATAATGGAAGCCCGAAGGTTTCAACAAGACGTCAGGTTTCACTTTCTTTGATGACTCTGACCGCCTCAATCATGAACCTGAGAACCGGGTCTGAAAGCCTTCAATTTATCTTATTCGTCTTTTATGTGCACTGTTGTTGGCAAAAATGCTCATGTGGAAATTTTAGCTCGCCTAAATTCTTCAGAGGCTGGGCATTCGTCAAGCTTTCATAATCTTGGTGTAGCATCAGTATATTCAGATACACGCTTTTTCCAAACCACTTCCGACTAGAGTAGATTACTCGATCACTAGCGTAGCGTAATTATTTTGTCATGTTTTCTACAAACCTGCGAGTTATGTGAGGTATATTTAAAACATAATGTATATTAATACATCTCATACTGACACCTCTAATTTATCCTTAAAGGATAACTGCACAGAAAAAAAAGTTTTTTTTTCAATAGCCTAATTGGGACAAGCATGTCAAAAAACAATTTTTCCGCGAGAAAAAACATTTTTTACAGCAATATTTATTGCATGAGACTCATTTTAGTTTGCGGCTATTTCGTCCGTTTTAAATCGCGCGCCACGAAGTTGTGATTATGTGACGTCAATCCCAAAAGGTTCTCATTGGCTAAGAGTTTGATTGACAGCTTAGGTCTTGGTTGTTAAACCTTTGTTATATGTTGCAATTTCCTTTTGAGCGGCATATTTTTACGTTTAAAGAATAATCCATGTGTTGAGAGTTATTATTCTTTACAAAAGGTTTACAAGACGGGCACTTCCGTTTGGATTCATACAAACAAAAGCTTCGCCATTCTTTCATGGCCGCCGAAGTCTCTGCTCCCGCCTGTCTCGCCTACCTCGACTAATCGTTTCGCCTAAGTGATCAGTGTTTCTTCCTTTCGTGCTGACCCAGGTACTTCTTGAAGTGAAGTAGTGCCTGTTTAGCAGCGACGCGGTTCTTTCGTTTTCCTCTTTGCTTGCTTAGCGTGCTTTTTTTTGTTGTTTGTTTTGCTTGTTTGCGCGTGCAAATGCTGACTTTTCGGAGATGTCAGATGCGTGATCCCGACAGTGAGCCTTCCAGAAGCCATGTTGCCCCGAAAGGAATGCTATTTGGCTGGAGGCAATCGGGCTTTCGCGTAGCGACCAACGTGTCTAGTTACGTTCTCGTCATATCGCTCTGGAGGCCGTCGAGATTCGCCCCGTGTGCACCTAACGTCCGCGACTAGACAGAAAATAAAAAAAGCACTATGTCCACTACGTAAAAATGGTCTCAGTTCATGCATCTGTAGGCAGCTACGAAATCGTGCCCAAATTTATTCACACCGCACGATGCAACACGTCGCTGTGCAAACGCAGTCCAACACGAAGCATAAAAACGGCAGATTTAGGACAACAATTCGGAGTCCATTGTTCAATTAAAACGACGTAATTTTGTTGAAAACGCCCGCAGCTTTTTACTCACGGTATGCGTCGGCAAACTTCCACATTTTGAAACAGAATGAGGCAGATTTACTTTTAAAAACGGTCCCAGCGTCCTCCCGGACCAGTTTGACTGGATCAGCTGACGACGACGGGACTTATCTGGTTGAACGTCAACCCCACAAGTTCCAGTTTGCGCTCCGTGTTAGCACCGCATTACACACAGCACGAACGTTTCAGCTCTGTCGCATCGCCGTGTTGCACAAAACAGAACGAGATCGCCGAAACCAACGCAGCGCTGTCGTGAACCTTGGCTTGTGGTTGCGCACTCGTGGATTCTGTGACTCCCTTCGCTTTCAAAGCGCGCACGACGATTACGAACGATACTTTCCGTCTTCCGGGAACATCACAGGGGCACTTCTCCGGTCACGTCTTCGCTACATGTGCTCGCAAACCGCGTCAAACCAAAACAATACCGCGGCCTGGCGTAGTTGCCAGATCTTGCCGGAAGTCGAGACGCTGCGTCGTTCAACGGTTCAACTCCGCAACGCAAGGAGAGTGAGGGGCGGGGCGTACTCCTCTTCCGCGGGGGTCGAAAGAGCGGGAGTTTCAAACGTGGAGAGGTTCTCACTCTACTAAATTACGTCCTGTGGCGTAAATATTGATAAAAGAAATCATTTTTTTCGCGGAACATTTGTTTTGTGACATGCTTGTCCCAATTAGGCTTTTTAAAAAAAAACTTCTTTTTCTTTGCAGTTACCCTTTAATCTTGGTCTCGAATTATGCCGCGCCGGCCGTCTGCTTCAGTATCCGTTTTCACAATAGGAAATATAATCGCGTGTGTTTGATTAGAAACAAAATTTCTTTCATTTGTTTATTTCTTTAAACTGAAGCATACGTCTGGCAATTGTTAAAAGATTCGTTCATTGGCGGGAACTGTACTTACCAGTTGCGTTTCTTCCTATGGTGACCGTCTGCGAAGAAGTAACGTGCGATCTCAAGACCCAATTTGCGACCCATGTGGCGAAAGCTCTAAGGGTCTCTCCTCGTAAAAAAAAAAAAAAAAAAAAAATCAAAAGCGTCATACTATGTCGGTACCGTTTTCTTGTAATTTGTGACGCGCTAGAAATATATTGCTGCTCATGTTAAATAGAGTCGGTGAAAGGTTAAGAGGGAAGTGGAAGCTCCTCCCACCTTTTTCCACTTCAGCAGAGCGAACGCTGGAAAGGAGGCGACTTCCTCTCCAGCGTCGGTTCTGCCAAAGTGGAAAGAGGTAGGAGCAGTTTCCACTTTACTCTCACCGATTATAGAAAATATCACGACAAAACCAGATTGAGAACACATAGTTTCCCAACCTAGCACAAATATTCAAGAATATCCAAATAACTAATAGATATGTTAGCCCCCATGGACATTAAGTACGTTTATTGAAGACCCTTTAGCTTGTGCTAACTTTAATAACGCAGAACGTCACAAGTCACTTGTATCTGATTCGATACTATCTCGACCACGCAGTATAAGTACTAGAGTTCGTGTTTTAAGAGTTTTTTTTGTTTTTTTCGTCAAAAACAAAAGTGTTTTCTTTTTTTTTCCTTGGGGGGGGGGGGGGGTAGGTGTTTTTTGGTTTCCATTTCTGGGCGTCATTAAACAATCTGAATTTATCTTATTCGGAAAATAAGACGCGGGACTGAGATTTCCAAAGCCTTCAAAACATCGGTTATGATCTGAATACTTAAGGAACGTACTTGTGCCATAAAGAATTAAAAACGCGGACGGGGGAATGTGGTTCCGAAAAATGAAACGGCCTCACGGACAGTTCAGTGAGGGTTCAATTCAGTGTTAAGATGAAATGAAGCCTTAAACACAAATTTTCATCCCGCGTAGCGTCGGCTTATCTTAGTCAAGGATCGTTTCGATTCGAGGGTTTTTGGTTTTCGCCGACTTTGATAAAAGTGCAGTGCAGGCGAAGGCAACGCCAGACAAAGAGAGAAATGGCGAGCACTAGGAAGGCACTAGAAGAGGGCAGTGGAGGGCGAGGAGAGGAAGGAAGAGCAAATATAGGAACGTTAGAGCGGAGGGAAAGTTTCCTTTCTTCCTTCCCAGCCTTCCTGGTGCTTGCCCTCTCTCCCCTCGCCTGGTGTTGCTATTACTTGTACCGCACGCAACTAGCAACGCCGAGTATATACTAATACGGGGTTACTTTTCGGGATGTATCGGTATTTATCGAGAACACGGAACCCTAAGTATGTTTCTCCTTTCCTTGCGTCGCAAAATATCTTATATGCTCCTTTCTTTTTTTCCCCACGAAATGCTATACTTTGTTTTACCTTAAGTTCGTACGCGGCCGATGCTACAAGCGCGAGCATGTGGCACTGAGCAGCGCTTGCACTGCACCAGCGCGCGTAGGGACGCTGAAAGCCCGGAGCTCGCACTTGTAGCTTCTGCTACGCTCACACTTATAGTGAAAAGCAGTAATGTATTATCAACTTGACCTACAAGATAAGCGCCCTCATCCTCCCTCGTAATTTCTTCTCACGTTGACTATCAGTTCAAAGTCGGAATTGCTCACTGCCCCCGCGCAGCAAGTTCGTCTGCTTCTTGTTCAGGGGTCGCGACGACATCAGAATGCTGAGCTGGGATTGGCCCTGATTGGAAGGATAGTGGGCAGATCTGAATGCTAGCTGCATGGCTAGCTGCCATTGAGGTCTCCCCACTATACTTCCAATCAAGGCCAATCCCAGCTCAGCGTTCTGATGTCGCCGCGACCCCCTGCACAAGATGCAGGCGAACTTGGACTCCGCACAGTGGCAATATCATCACACTACAAATCAATAAATGGTCATTACTGTTAATGTTAACGCGACATCTTCTGCACGTGTTGAAATTACTTTTATTTAATGTGTTTGTTTTATTTTTCCTTCCTTTAAATAATGCGCCCCGGAGCCCAAAAGTACTGATTCAAATCGATATCACGCGACATACCGTGTAGATGCAAGCCTCCACGAAGTTACTAGGAAAAATGTTCCTGAAAAAGAAAAAAACGTATAAGGTCCGGTTTATATACGTTACCAAAAAAAAAAAAAGCTGCAAGGCCCGTTTACACACTTGCATTTGTAGGCCCGTTCACACTCTTGCAACCGAGCACGAGTGAGAGAGACGAGACCAGTTTTTAAGCCTCTTGCGATCTCTTAGGACCAGCTCCGCTGCAGCGGAGATGGTCCTAAGAAGTCGCAAGAGGCTTAAAAACCGGTCTGGTCTTTCTCGGTCGTACCCGGTTGCAAGAGTGTGAACGGCGCTTGACCGACAGAGACACGACCGGTTTTTAAGGCTCTTGCAACGCAGCAGCGCATCCGGTCCTAAGACGTCGCAAGAGGCTTAAAAACCGGTCTTGTCTCAGCCGGTCGTTGTCGCTCGCAAGTGTGTGAACGGGTCTATGTACTGCAGTGCTTCCCAAAATGTTGGTCCCAAACTGCGAATATGTCACGACCTCAACGAGATCGAGAAGCGGCTAGGGAACTCTAAAAAATGCGAACCTCCGCTTCCCTGCGGGGACGTTGACGACAACAAAGTCGCAGCTCAACGTCGAGCCGGAACTGAGAGCTGCGATGTCCAAACTAGGGCCTCGTTTTAAGAAAACGTGATCTAACAAACAAGCTCACTCGAGTCATTAAAAACAATCATTCCTGCTGGCATGCTTTTTTTTTTTTTCTTTTTTAGAGTTTTGTTTTAGGGGCTGGTTCCCGTGTTTAGCGGCGTCGACTTTGGGAACCAGCGCTAAAATTCCGGGCGCTAAATTTAGCGGGGAATCGAATTGGTGTTGAGGTCACATGACGTCAATTTTTCCGCTAAATGTAGCGGAGAAGCTGAATTTGTTCACAGGTGACGTGACATGAAGTCATGTGACGTCATTTTCCCCGCTAAATTTAGCGGGGTATTGAATTGGTGTTGAGGTCACGTGACGTTAATTTTCCCGCTAAATTGAGCAGAGAAAATTAATTTGTTCGTTGGTGACGTCAAACGAGGTCATGTGACGTCATTTTCCTCGCTAAATTTAGCGGGGAGACTGAATTGGTGTTGAAGTCACGTGGCGTCAATTTTCGAGCTAAATTCAGCGGTGAAACTGTGGGATGCGGGGAGGAGGCAGAGAGTAGAAGGAGGGGAGGAGGAGGCGGAGTAGGACCCTCCCCTCCCCTCCCCTCCTCCTCCTTTGTACCCTCCCGTCACGGTATACCGCAAAATCAAAATACCTCAAGATCTGCACTCTAATTTCGCATTAGAGATATGTAAACGTCTTTCAATTTTTTGGGATGGTATCTAGCTTAGCTGACTCACTCTGACTATATTAAATGTCAAATAAAATTTAAGTATCAATTTTGTTTTCGACTGTTCATGCACTGAAATGCAAACGCTTGCTTGCAAATAGTAGGAAAAGAAAAAAGTGCGATCGAAGGTTCTTTTTTTTTTAAATATTTGATGGGTCGACGGGTGGCAGAAGTTTGGAAGCACTGATCTACTGCTCTAATCAAATCAAATCAAATCAGCTTTTATTTTCCATCACATAATGGTGGATACCAAGAGAAAAAGCTGCTTATATGCAGCTTGACGAGCCTTTGGCACCCCTACATGGCAGACATCGCAACAAGAGATCATTTAATAAACAAATAAATCTAGAAAAACTATACAATGTGCATTTTTATACAATGTTAATAAATCATAGAATGTGCATTTTTTATACAATGTTAACGATGCTATTTTTATTAAGTGAAGTGATATCAATTTCTAGCGATGCGACATGATTTAGTAAGTGAGGAAGTGCATGTTTAATTCTTTGATGTCCAAAGTTCGTACGTGATCTTGGTATTTGCCATGGATGCATTTGACGGGTTTGATAAATTGGAATTTTCAAATGAAGGTCAGCGAGGTTCAGAAATGTTTCGGATTTACCTTTTAGGGCCGATTGGTACGTTAATATTAAGCGTTGACTGTAAAGTTTTGACACGTCGGTTATGGAAAATTTATCAAAGAGAGGCAATGATGGTGAGGTCGTAGGAACATTGTCTATTGCACAAAGAGCTTTTTTCTGCAGCACGCGGAGCAAATTTAAGTTGGTTAAACCAGTGGATCCCCATATCAGATCGCGTATCCTAAGACGGGGAAAAATAATGATTTAAAAATTTGAAGTTTGATATTGGTAGGTAAAATGTTTCTATATTTGTTTATTACTCCAACTATTTTTGAAAGTTTAGTACGAACATATTTAACATGTTCAGACCAGGACATGTTAAAGGAAAAAAATACACCCAGAGTTTTGACATTTTCAACACAATGAATAATATCAGAACCATATTTGAAAGGAAGGAATAAATTTGTTTGAGTTCTAGAATGTAGTTGAAATATTACAGCCTTGCTCTTATTAGTATTTATATGGAGGGAGTTAATTTCGCACCAACATTTTAATTTAGATAGAACAATATTTGCTCTGGTAACAAGATGTTCATAATTTTTATCAGAAATGATTATACTCGTATCATCTGCGTATAGTAGTATATAGTATAGTAGTATACTACCAACCGAACTTTACGTTTATTTATTTATTTATTTCTTTTTTTGCTCATATACGCGTTTGGTTTACCTGTTCCTATGCTTCATGTTTTAGACGTCTAGGCTGCGTCGCTTTTTGCAGTGCATTCCGTTCGGAAATAGGCTTTGCCCGTTTCTTTGGTTGTCGCGTTGACGGCTAAATGTCGTGACCTCGCTTGGAATGGCGATAAGAACGGTTTTCGCTCGCAACCAGAATATGACTCGAAAGCGTACGATCGCGATGGTACCTCCGAAATCTATTAGCCAGGGCAATTTCCATGGACATAGACCTCACACTCCGAAAAATTCGGAGCGTCGACTTTCCCGCCAACCACTTGGAAAAGTCAATCACTACAATCTAGGGAGACAGCTCGGCGAATGAAAGGAGGCTCCAAATATGTCTAAACAGCAAAACAAAACAAAAAAACTGCTTGAACTGCGCTATTGAGAATGACGCTTGCATGCTTCTATGACATGCACAGTGTCACAATGCAGACAGTTTCTTTCGGTCTAAACATATGTCATCCTCACCAATAACGTTCGCCGAACTAGCTCCCGTAGATCGCGGCGACTGACCTTCCCAAGCACTTTGCAGGAAATATAGAAGCACCGGATATCCTTAATAGAGTCTGGTGGACAAGAGGTATAGACGCTTTGCAGCAGCTGTGCATGGGCGCCGCCATAACTGACCTTCAGTTTTTGTTTCCTCTTATTGAATTTTCTTCACCTCATCATTACCATACCAGGCCAAGTTATGGCAATCTTAAATTCTATTCCGTCCTTCTACCCAGCATTGGCCTTTCTGGAGGCCCGTCAACACCCGTTTCAGTCACTCGGTATCTCCACAACACAAAAGAAGGTCAGCAATGGCGGCCGTAATCTGGCGCGTGTGTAAAGCGTCTATATGTCCCGATCGGAGCGATGCAGTGACCCTGGTGACCCAACCAGTCACCTGAGGAGGTCGAGCAACGCATCGGCAGTCGTGGCTCTCCTCCGGCTCCAGCAGGGCTTGTTCCACGACTGGAGTTGGTAGGCGACCGCGATGCCGATGGATGTCGCCATGCCTGCGTTGAAGAATTCCCGAACCCCAACACTTTGGCGCTTATCGCTACCGCGACGGCTGCGCCACGCCTTTGTACGATGGGCACTGACAGCTCAAGAAACGGGAGGTACGGCCTCAATGATGTTCCCGCTCCTTGTGTCGTGAATGGTTCTTCGGAGCTCTTATCGATTGGTACATGCCCTCTCATTGGCTGCGGAGCCATCATAAGATACGGAGGACTCGCTAGGGCCTTAAGCTTCTTAAGCTGTCAGCGACGGTGGACATGCCCTGTTCGGCTGCCAGCTCGGCGTGACGTCATATACACGAGACGGGAGCGGAGGGCAGAGGGCGGGCACCCACTTGTGGCCAGGAGGAAGTAGAGGAGCGACAGCACGCCGATGTGTCCCGCGAGCACGATGTCGATGCTTCCGAGGGCGGCGATGACGCTCGACGACACCAGGGGAATGACCAGGGACTCCAGCATGCGCATGTACAGTTCTCCGGGAATGTCCAGGTACATCAGGACGGGCGTAGACCACGTGCCCTGGGCGCCAGCAGAGAAAGACAAAGAAATGTGCAAGTTTAGTAGAACACAAGAGAGCCAATTGCACTGCGAACAACGCGTGACATCCCTTCGAATGACGAATTAGACCTGAAAAAGATGCGATGTGCACAGGGTCAATGACCATGATGCTCCACTTGCTCCTTCTCCCTGTACACAAGGGATGTTTCATACCGAATCGTATTCTGGGCGTCCTCATTGACTGGGATTCTTACATTGTTCGCTGCGATTGGATGCCTCCGTTTTCTGCAGGAAATTGAACTCAGATAATCAGTGGCGTCACAAGGGGGGGGGGGGGGGAGGGAGGGGGGGGGGGACGTGCGGCGGACCACGCGAGAACGGGGGGCGGGGGGGGGGGGGGGGGTCGTGGCGGGCTACCGCCCCGGCTGCCGCTGACCCTCGTGACGGCACTGCTCAGACTTATTTACAAGCTGTCAATAAATAAATAAACCGACCAATCAATCAGCTGGTGTTTACTGTGCCCCAGAATATCTGGCAGTCGTTAGGAGGGGCGCACGCACGTGATGCGAACGACAAGGGGGAAAAAATGACTAGCGTAAAAATGTGCAAAACACTCCTTTTGAACTCCTCGGAATTACCAGCGAAGAAGTCCACGACAGAACGACAGAACTGTCGGCTGTATGCCGACGGTTCTGACTTGTCGGATGCATCCGTGTAAATGGACCGCCATATTCTAAACCAGAAGGGTAAAACAATTGTACAGCAAATAGCTCGGCAATTGTGTTGTATACGTGAAACGTTCTTGCACCATTAACTATTAGCGATAAACTGAGCCTGTGTCCACATAGTTTGGCGAATGACGGGCTGGAGCCGGTCATATGTCAGGTATCCTGCTAAATTTAGCGGGTAAGCAGAATATGTGTAGTATGCACAACGTAAGTTTCCTCCCTAAATCTAGCGGGCAAACTAAATTTGACTATAGGTCACGGGACATCATATCACGTGATGCCAATTTTTCCCCTAATTTTAGTGGGGAAACTGAATTTTCGTACAGGTCGCGTGACATGAAGTCGCGTGAATTCATTTTCCCCGCTAAATTTAGCGGGGAAACTGAATTGGCGTTGAGGCCACGTGACGTCGACTTCACCGCTAAATGTAGCGGCGAAACTGAATTTGTATGTAGGTCATGTGACACGAGGTCACGTGACGTCATTTTCCCGCTAAATTTAGCGGGAAAGCTGAATTGTTGCTGAGGTCACGTGACACCAATTTTGCCGCTAAATCAAGCAGGGAAACTGAAGTGATGTGATGTCAAAGGCCACGGCTTCACCAAATCCGTCAAGCCGTGCAACAAGCCAAAGAACGTTTCATGTTCAAAAGGTCGTCCATCTATCGTGGACGTTAGCAAACGTGAAATGAGATTCTGCTCAATAGCGGGAGAATCAGTAACAGAGTTGAGCACCTTATAACGTGTGAGTGTAAAACATTTAAGGGGAAGAAAAAAAAGCAAAAAGAAGTGGTCACCCTCGCGCGAGAACCTTATCACGAAACGCGATATCGGCTATAGCGTCTTCTGCGTTAAAATCGCCCCGACAAAGGAACATAAAACGTGCTGCCTCTGGGAGTGCTCGCACGAACTCACCTGACGTATATGTGCTCCGAGCAAGACGCCGCCGATGACGGCGACGACGACCAGGAGGTTCAGCGAGTTCTCGGACACCTTGAACAGACTCGCGTCGGCTTCGGCCTTCTTCTTTTTCGGCTCGCTGCCCTGCGGCACAACCTGTAAGTGCAGGATGAATCCCCGTAGCAAGTGTTGCGTAAAGTACGTCTAAAAAGTACAAAGTAAATAAGAGTCTATGTAATTCAAGTACTAAGTACACAGGGCCCAATGTACTTGAAGTAAAGCACTATATATACGATGTACCTTTAATGTAAAGAACTAGTACTTTTTAACACAGTCATTCATGTTGCACGTTAGTTCCCCTATGCAGTTTTTTGATAAACTGGTATGCATTGTCCCAGGGGCAGTTTTTGGAAATGGCGGCGAATATTAGATAATGTCAAATGGCCACAAAGTAGTTAATTTACTCTCGCTGACGAACAATTTCACACAATAAGTTCATAAGGCACTGATTTGTATCGGTCTTACAGCCGCCATTACTTCACTCAGAGAAATTAGCAAATGAGCAATGCGCCTTCTGTTCCCGTTACTGGTGAGAGTTGAATATTCCTTCCAATATTCCTTCGAAGTTGAGTAAGCATCGTTTTGCGTCACAAATTTAACAGGACTAAATCTGGGGAACGTGCTTTGAATTCAGGTGTTGTGCTTTCCTCGGAAAGTACCAGAAAAAAAAAAAAAATTTAAGTAGAGTGTAAGTACATACACTGTAAAAAAAAGCCCGTGCGCCTACTTTCCCGCACAACACTTGGAGAGCCAATCACCGCAACTTACGGAGGCAGCTCAGCGAATGACGATGCCGAAATATATGTTTAGACCAAAAAATGTAGTCTGAGTTGTGACATTAAGCAATACAAAACGTCACGCTTGCATTGCTTAATGTCACAACTCAGAGTACGCTTTCTGGTCTAAACGTATGTTTCGGCATTGTCATTCGCTTAGCTGCCTCCGTAAGTTGCGGTGATTGGCTCTCCAAGTGTTGTGCGGGAAAGTAGGCGCACGGGCTTTTTTTAGAGTGCAGTCACCAAAATATACTTCAAGTAAATTACAAATCTTCTAAACCCTACTTGAAGTAGTACTTTAAGTACAATCTACTTAAAGTACAGGGTGTCACAAAAGAAAATTTACACGGTCTTTTTTACCGCAAAAATAAGCTAGGCATCGCCGAACGCTCATTCTCCGCCCAAAGGTAGAGCTAGAGGTCACAACCAGATGCCAAAGTTTCAGCCCGATCCGATAACTTAATCAAAAGTTATAAGGGATTTTCTGAAAATTTGAATGGGAAAATGGAGCCCATTTTCGCCCGTTTTCGGTTTCTGGTGTCATAGAGCCCCATGTGTTTGAAAACTCCGTCGGCCGCCTTTTTCCCATTGAAATTTTCAGAAAATCGCTTATAACTTTTGATTAAGTTATCGGATTGGGCTGAAACTTTGGCATCTGGTTGTGACCTCTAGCTCTACCTTTGGGCGGAGAATGAGCGTTCGGCGATGCCTAGTTTATTTTTGCGGTAAAAAAGACCGTGTAAATTTTCTTTTGTGACACCCTGTACTTTAAAACACTGTCTGTAGCTTATTGTGTTCGTTCTTAGTTCAGAATGTTTTTCTTTTGCGTTCTGATTGGTTAATGCAGCACTCTCGTGGGCTAGGAAGCGATAATTAGATGCTTGAAACTCGCCACCTGTCTTTGTCCACACGTGTGCACAAGATCTCAAAGCCCCGATCGACTGAAAGAATTAACCCCTAAACACCAAGACAGATTAGAGTAATATAGACGCATAAAATCGGGTGTAGCCAACACCGCATGGCCTCGTCTACCTCAATGGTACGTCATCACATTGCAGTGTAGCGCCGACTCCGCAACTGGGCCCGAACCCGGTACCAAGAGTCCTTCGACGCATTGACTGCACCCGAGACCCAGACAAAAGTTGACGAGGCATTCGTGGTAAATTTGCGCTCGATCTCACTGCGATGTCGTGAAAATGCTTGTGCTTGGGCTTTTATTATTCTAGGTTAAATTGGTGTAGCTTTGCGGTCTTTTATTTTGTTTGAAGAAGTGTGAAAGGGAGATATAAAACCAACAGTTTTATTTTCTCCCTCTCTCTGTGAAGAGTGCTATGCCGCTTTAACTAAAACCATATATACATGGCGGAAACAAAATATTGGTTTAAATTAAAAATTATGAGCCATTTCACTCTGTGGAAGTGGATGACCAGCGAAACTGTTCAGCACACGACACAGACCCGCCCCGAGGAGCCGGAGGAGACTAGACACGCGCGACGGGACCGCCACCCGGTGGAAAGTAGACACGCGCGAAGGGACGCCACCCCGGGAAAACGGAAGGAAAGGAAACTAGGCGCACAAGCGCTTGGAACGACGACAAAGAGAGGGCGGTGCGAGCGTTGATATGGCCGACGCGGGTTGCACACCGGCAAATCTTCGAGAAACCTTCATCATCTACCTGAGAGTCTACTGATCTTGAAAATGATCCCTATTGATAACTAATTTACTGAAAATACATATCGAAGTGATGAGACGTATGAGATTTTGCATAGAATGCAGCGATTTTGCATCCAATTCGGGACCTGAGATCCACGGAAAACAAGCTATTTACAACTTCACTGTTAAAGAAAAAAAAAAGAAAAAAAAAAAGAAAAAAAAAGCCATGAAAAGCAACTTTTATGCTTAGGGAACAACTCGGTGTTGTACAGGCACCGACAAGCTGAGATCGGAGGCGGCAAACACAGCCGTGCTGCTCAGCGTGGCCGGAGAGGAAGCCGTGGACGTCTTCAACAACGTTGTGTTCACCGAGGGAGAAAACAAAGAAGAATACGCCACAGTGACCGCCAAATTCTAAGAATATTGCGTGGAGCAACAAAATGAAATTCGTGAAAAATATGTCTTCTGTTCGTGTCTGCAGTGTGAGGCGGAACCATTCGAGAAGTTTCTACGTACTTTGGAGAGACACGCGCAGCACTTCAGCTCCGGAACCCTGGCAGACGGTATGGTTACGCGACCAGGTGGTGTTTGGGACAAACTTGCGAAACCTTCGAGAGAAGATGCTCAGGGGCAAGCACCTGACCTCGGAAGAGGTTGTCACCTTATGCAAGGTGGCAGAAATGTCAGCTTGTCAAAATTAAATCTGGCGTGAAACAAACGAATAAAGGCCCGTTCACACTCTTGCGACCGAGTAAGACTGGGAGAGACCAGACCGGTTTTTAAGTCTTTTGCGACGTCTTAGGACCGGATGCGCTGCAGTGGAGCTGGTCCTAAAAAGTCACAAGAGGCCTAAAAACCGGTCTGGTTTCTCAGTCTTACTC